TTTAGGTTGCTTCGAAGTAGGAGCAGGTAGTCATGGTGGGATGCTTTGCCTGGCCTTGGGTAGGGAGCCTGACGATTTAGGTTGTCTATGGTTGTCGAGTTGCATAGGGTGACCGGAAGCAACTGCTAGGAGAAATGCGTCCATTTGCTCACACACGAAAGACTGAATGAGAGGATCAGGCTCTTCAGCGGCCGACCAAAACTTGGTGTGAAAGTATTGAACCTAAGTAGCTCGACCCTTTGCCACGCGGTGGACAAGCTCGAGCTTTTCAGCGAAGTGCCGGGCCAAGGGAGGTGGTTGTTGTGATTTGGCCATAACGAGGGCAATGACCAAACTAAGATGCACTTATTAGGGATCAAATTAGAAGGAATAGCTGGAAACGAGTAGGTATACATTCGGTAACTTATTGATGCAAATATGTTAGAATTGAGAATAATTGGGGCCATCAAGTAGGCCCCGCTATTGATACACACGTGACTTCAAATTCTGCACTTAGTTTCACTTCGGCAGTTACTTGAAAAAATGCAGTACAGCTTGTTAGATCTTTTCATGTATTTAGATGGAGCAATGAACAATGAAGGAGAGGCAGGGAGTGCGTATTGCACCTACCGGGGTCCAGACTCAGAAAATACAAATACGAAGTTTCCCCTCAGTCGGACAGCAGAAGTATTTGATGTGGTATTGAAATATATAGCCCACTACTTTGTTTGTGGACTTATTGGTAGAGGGAAGCTTATGCAATAATGAAGGATAAAAGGATGTCAATTCGACTACTCTACTAAACACAGGTACCAGACTCCTTTTAATCCCAATAGATAGCCCGTGCGGAATCTCCTGTTAACAGCGGTAAACAACGCTAGCACAGGGTATACGCAATCTCCATTTGCCAAACACCAGTCGGTCGGGACTACTAATTATCGAGCCTAGTAGGATCGACAAAGTGTATCCCTACACAGAAATAATAGGAAACTCAACAACCAAACCCTTCATCAATTACTTCCATTAACAATCACTGTGGAAACTCGAGGGACAAAAGACGATGGGCGAGTGGTCAAAAGCTGGCGTGAACTCAAATCATAAGATTCTAAACTAAAGATAAAAGTATCTAGGAGGATATGAATCTGTATATATTTACATAAGAGTTCAATTGTTGAAATAGAGTTTCCAACACGAAACCTCCTGTCCCTCATTGCCTACAACCCGAGGGTTTTGCATGAAAACCAATATCCATGACAAACCTTTCGTATCGTGATTTGTCACACACAAGACTCGTGTGTGTGAAACTAGTCATTGGAATTCCTGGATTGACCCTGCATCGGCTTACCAACTATTGAACCGACGACTACGTGGCCACTAAAATGTCGGGGCGTCACAATCACCTGACTTATCTCTGTACTCCATAATTTCAACATGTGGGAATTATTGGGGCAGTTGAAGGGCTAGAAGCAGCCATGGTACATTGTATTGCCAAATACGCTACAAATATTATGGTATCTCTGGATAATGAAGAAGCGGCACTATGATTACACTCTGGCTACCTAAGCCCATCCAGCTTAGTCAAGATTGCGGAATTTCAGGCACCGAGGGAAAATAGGAATAGTAGAGTGCGATCTTCGGGAGAGGTACAAGGTGCGGTGAACGTACAATGGGTTCAGGGTCACGCAGGGATCAAGGGAAATGAGCGTGCAGATGTATTAGCTAAAGAGGCCTGCAGCGAAACAACTACACGGACAAAAGCTTCAATATACAGAGCCAAAAGGCCTATAAGGGAGCGGCAAGAGAGTAGCATCACCCGATTTTGGAAGTGCCACGCTCCGAGTAGATATAGGAGTCTGAAGATACCTATGACAGGACAAATGCCTGAGGAATTACAGGCTTTATTTCGGAAAAATCTCGCATCACTCCTTGCGGCCCGCTCCGCTGACGGAGACTACACCACTTATCACAAACGCTTCCAGCACCAAGACGCCGAGCTATAGTGTATCTGTGGAGAGGGGAAGGCTCTAGAATATCCCTTTGTATGCAGGAAACTTGACCAAGGTAAAACTTCTAGGCCACGTCCATCTCGCGGTAAGAAGTGGGACATCATGTGGACCCTCGGCACAACAACAGGGGCAAAAGAATTCGAAAAAATGGTGCAACACAGCTCATTCATACTTCTTCGACCTTCTCTGGCCTCAGTTGACCACCAAATACACGCCCACGCCGATATTTATACCCGACGGAGGAAGCAAAGCGTGGCGCACAAATCTGGGGGACAATTCTTTGAGATGGACGTGGGAGGGATTAGGACAAGTTTACAAGATGATGCAAAAGAAGGACTTAACATCTACGGGCGTGAAATCCCGAATTTTGGGAAGGAGTTTTACGAATTGGGATCTGTGCGCGCCTAGACTTCGCCTGCGAGAGTGCAGCTGCCACTACAAAAACAAGCAAACGATGGAAGGTGTTGCGGTTTGCCTCCTGGTGGTGTTATCCGGTATAGTCTGAGTAGCCTCGGCACCTACTCTACTTGGGAAGGAGACATCTCAGACCATATTTCGCGCGGAGAAATATTGAAAAATGATGGAGGCATGTTTGGATACCTCAGGGTTTTTGAGACGTTCCCCTGGGTGGGTATTCACGGATGAGGGTTGACTTGGGGTGAAGAAAAAGCCACCACAACTTCGCAGTGGTACTTGCAATTGAAATCCCAGGCATGAGTGCTCTTCCTTTACGTTGAATCATCTATTCTGTACTCTTCTTTGATATTGTGTCATAGCTAGATAGCTGCATATGCAATTAAAATCTGATGCAAAAAAAGCTCATTCATACAAATAACAAGAAGGTGTCACAGTGTTGAGGCAATATCAGGGGTGACATTAATAGGATTGCCTTGAAAGAACTGCATAAGTTGTTGGAGTTTAGAATAATTGGGGCTATCAAGTGGGCCACATTGCTGACATACACATGACTGCGAATTCTGTACTTAGTTTCACTTCGGTAGTCACTTTCATCAATACGCTCTACAACCTCAATAACTGAGGAGGACGAAGACTGAAAACCTGTCAGTGGTGTACTCTACGAACCTGGGAGTGAAATATTCTCCCAGAGCCGAGATTCAGTCACGAAAAAGGGTGGGACGAATTTCATTTGATGGACTTTCGGCTTGAAGGAGTTGCACTCGATATTTTGGTCGAAAAATAAGTCGACGGAGATTTTACAGCCGGAACAAAGTCGTTTAAAAACTCATCACCACTAACATACGATTCACGAATGGATATAGGTCCGTCTGGGGGTCGTATTGAAAGATCGGACATCTCTCAAACTCCTTATATATTTGCGACGATCAATTTCTAAGCCGATTCTATACCTGCGACCCACCTTCATACTCGTCACATCACCTATCTACACACGCTTTAATGATGAAAGTCATGATGGAAACGGAACGTGTACAAAGGAGGAAGAAAAGGGGAGATACACAGAGGGTATTACACAAATCCCCAATGACGACAACATCCCGACGGTACGATATGAAGGTGCAGGGCTAGAACAACGATGAGATCTGGGATTACAAGTATACTTTGGAGTCAATGAGGATTTCAAGGGCTCGGGCGCGTGGTGGCTGAGGCCGAAGAGGAATTTGCGCCATGGCGTGTCGACAGCGGGTTTCTGGACGGTCAGACTTGGTATGATTCAACACATAGGTGAAGTCTGAGGTGGTCCGGTCATTTGAGTGGAATGAGGTATGCCTGTACTTCGCGGTAGTTAACCTGATCCGGCCCGGCCCCACTCGTGCTTAAGCTCCAGTAGGAATGCAACCGTAGACACTTAACCGAGCACGTTAATGAACAAAAAATTAAACCCTCAATAACTGAGGGGTCATTATTTCCTTGATACAAATTTGTAATTTAATCAAGGTAAATTAAAAAAAAAGAAGGGGGTAGCGGCAAGGAGTTAGACATTGAGGGATAAACACGAATAGAGTGGGCTAGGGCTCTACAGGTCGGGTCATACCCGTGGGCCGACTTGGCGTTAAATGCAAACACATAAGCACATACTTGAACAAATGCGCTCTACAACCTCAATGACCAAGGCATAATAATTTCCTTGATAAATGTGATTGAGTAACAGTTCTATGAATCCGGGATCCTCATAAGTATGGCATATTACGTAGAAGTATTTTGGTACCCAATTAACAAATAAATTACTTTTTGATATACTAACGTATACGATCTCCTTACCGGAACTATTACATACGTTGTGAATTCAGTGATGTTGATAAGTTTCCGTAACTTCAGACCTTATATGAATGGTATCTTATACCTTACGCAAAACGAACCAGTAATTTAATTCGTAATCCGAATGATTAAGGTAAAAAGATACGGAGTCACTTTGGTAAGATTATTCTGGATTGGAGGTTGAAAAGCCCACTGTAATTCTAGTATCTCGAACTTAAAACAGGTCACAAAAATAAATGTGCTTAATAAATTAGGCTGAAAAACTACAGAGCAGCCTATTATTTGATGTAAGCAAATAATTTGCTCCGGATAATTACACGTCTTGGTAAAGTCTCAAACTTATTAAGACTTTTGATATCATACCATGTCCTATATAAAAAGCAAAGTCATCAGGCACAAACTAACTTTGCGTACACCCAGTATTGGCCTTGGTTATTGTCGAGACAATTATACTTTCTGCAAACCTAGAATACTGAAATTTGATAACGAATAGAAAGCTGAAAGCCTCTCAAAGAAATTCTCAATATTTAGGGGTATCTAGAGTATTTTGGTGTATTTCAAATGTTGAATGATCTTTTCGCTGACAGTTTGCTCGATGCTCTTAGTATTAATTCAACACTAGCGATGAATATTTACCCAGGGTGCCTGCAAAATTTTTCCTCAACAAAGTATGCCGATCCTTGATAGCCAAAATACCCTCGTTTCAGGCTATTGTGGATATCATTATTTAAATTTTATTAGTTCAAAATAGTGTCAAGTCAGATTTGTCAGAATGTAAATTTATCTTGGTCCAAGTTTTTGGAGAGATCTGTATCGGCCTCGTCAGCATTTTTATAGTTCAAAATACCTCAATGGTACATCATTTTGCATTTTGAAGCATTTTTGCTCAATTCAGAAGGATGTGTGACGAGAAAGTCTTACCGGGCACCTTGTTCTTCCCATTCCTGTTTCGAAATCCACATGTTTTCCTTGTCCGCCATGATGTTTGCGAGAACAGCACCTCCCAAAAATACCATATGTCGCCTTCTAGGAGGATCCTCTATACGAACCTTGAACTTATTTAATCTTTCAGGATTGCCTCCTAATACTTTAGCTAGCCAAAGTTGTTTTAGCTCCTTCTCTAGTCTTGATGGCAAGCCGGGGTACATGCTGCTCCCTCCCGAAAGAACAATAGCTTTGTAAAGGGATGATCGGACATCAACATCTGCAGCTTGAATAGTGTTGAAGAGAAACTCAGCTATTCCCGGTTGCTCAACATCCACAAGATGTGGTTGAAAGAGACATTCAGGTGCCTCAAATCGTTCACTACCGACTCGGATAACTCGGCCGTCAGGAAGTGTGTAACTCTCTACCAACACCGTTGTTTCTTCACTAAGTCTCTTATCTAATCCTAAATCGTAAGAAACGTAGCAGAGCTTCTCTTTAATCTGTCGGACTGTTTCGAAATCTGCTGTGCGATTGAGTGCATAGCCACGACGAAGGAGGAGAGCAATTAAGTTACGCGTCACATCTCGTCCGGCGACATCAAGACGACGGGTGAGATGATTTAGTACCACAGACTCATATACCGGAACAATGTGAGTCACCCCATCTCCCGAATCAACAACAACCCCTGAACTAAGGCCTATTACCATTAGCCCTCTTATTCTTCGATACATTATTCTTTAAATGACAGTTACCTTGCGCATATAGTGCAAGAACGGCTTGAATAGCCACGTAAACACCTCCGAATTGGTACCGTTCAAACATAACCTCACACATTTTTTCTCGATTGTTCAATGGGTTCATTGGCGGCTCTGTCAACAGTATCTTTCTTCCTGTCGTCTCTATCTGCATCTTCTCGTAAAATGTGTAGTCCCATAAATGTTGCATGTCGTCCCACTTCCTGACAATTCCGTTTTCCATGGGATAGGAAAGCTGAAGCATATTCCGCGCAGCTGCTGCCTCGTCACCGCACATTATATCCTTGAGAATAATTCCATTGTCGCCCTTTTCTTCTGTGCGTAACATGGGTCGACCTACAATTGAAGGGTATTGGTGCTCCGGGAAGTTCTAAGATACTTATAAATTTGCCCCAATTTTTTATTTCTCTGATAAATGATCGTACCTGAGCTGCATAACCGACTTTTAGAAATCCCGTGCCGCCATCAAGAACTATCTGAGTCAGTGTGCATAAGCGGTAGCCCGAGATGTTTAGGCATACCGATGGGAGTTTGTGCCATATTTTAGTGTTTATGACAATTCAATATGAAATATACCAAGAAGCTAAATTTTGAGAGGTTAGGGAGCTGTATTAAAATTCGTAAACTTGATATGAGAATAGCGACTATATTCATTGAGAAGCCGTACATGATATTCTTAGGGTGGTAGAAATAGTCACGTGATCACTCGGCGGTGTTTGTATCCTAGGATTGGGCAATCCGTGCCGACATATTACCGTAAACTCAACTACCCCGCGGTATGCCTAAAGCCAGAACCACCCCGAATCTAGGACTTTCAATAACTAAAAGCGTACTCTAGCAAGATGGCAAGCATGAAAATTCTGATTCTTAATCCTAATTCGTCGCCAACTACAACGGACGTTATAGACAGCGCAGTCGAAGCCTACATTGGCAAGTTTCCAATAGCCGCACAAATTGAGCTATATACAGCGCCTTCTGGACCACCAAGTATCGATAGCGATCAAGATGCGCTGATGTCGGCTAAGGCAATTATGGCAGACTTACAGTTTAAACTTTCGGATTATGATGCCTATGTGGTGGCCTGCTACAGCGTCCACCCGCTAGTCGGGATGCTTAGATCTCGCCTATGCTCTAAAATTCATGTCATTGGTATATTTGAAGCAAGCTTATCTACCGCACTTTCCTTACTTCCCATGGATCAACCATTTAAATTTGGTATCATTAGTACAGGCCATTACTGGAAAGACGCTCTCTCCTCAGGTGTGCAGAGATATTGTGGGAGCGATCGGTTCAAAGGTGTAGAGACAATGGGGCTTACCAACGCTGAATTCCATACTGCAGATATCGAGATAAAAAAATCTAAACTGAGGGAGGCTACTAGGTCCTTAATTAGGGAACGAGATGTGCGTGTCATTTGTCTGGGTTGTGCAGCTTTGTCAGGAATGAATGACATAATGAACGAAGTGCTGGTAGACGAGATAGGTGAAGGGGCAAACGCTATGTATATTGTCGATGGTGTCCAGGCTGGAATTGGGCTAGTCGAAAGTTTAATTCGAGAATCTACATGGCGCTCGGGCAATTAAGTTGGGAGTTGGTTCAGTTGTTTCATAGGACACGGAAGCTGATCGACAAGACCTTTTGAAGCTTCATATTCACATGCCCGAGGCTCGCAGGCTTATCGGTTTTGATTCGTAGCTCTCTCAAACTTCATTCAAAGCCGAAAGTTGGACTATCTTGCAGGTCGAATCACGTCTACTGCTAGTTTGATCAACTTATTTTTTGAGGTTTATTATTTAAATTGGGGGACAGCACGATTTAAGAGCTAATATCTTTTTCAATAAAAAATTTCCACACCACTCATCTCTTCAAAGAGTAACTAGCTTATTAAAATGCTCTCGATAAGCTCTGGACCATTAGACTCAAATTATACAACCTATTTTCGCTGGTAACTACATCTTTCAAGTCAACGTAACATTTCATGCTTCAGTGAAACAATTCACCGTATCCTAAGCATCTAACTTCCTCAAACTTACTCTTATTTACTAGTACTTTTGGGGGCCTTTTTGCGAAATTTATCTGTCATTTGCCACGCAACCGTTGATAGCTCAAGTAAATGTTTAGCGGAATGAGAAATATATTGTTTTCTTGATTTTTATCCTGTTTAATGTTTACACAGGGGGACTATTCTCAACACCTGTCAGTGGTGTCCCCTACAAACCTCCAGCTCTCACTGTAGAGTCTACAGAGCCGAGATTGAGTAACACCTTATCAACTTTGAGCTAAGTTATCTCCCCCTCCGTCAAAAATACGCTTCCGATAACGCATAAGACGACTAAGACGATGATAATAATGCTGGGAATGAGGAAAGATAATGCGGTACAAAATGATACAACGGTAGTCAGAGAAGCCCTCGTTACATCACAATATGTGCTACACACCGGCGGGCGAACAAGAAGCCCACGAAAGCAAAGTAAGAGACCCTTCCACCCTCAAGAAAAGCAGATTTCGACTCGTCTATATTATCGTCCCTACTAATCATAAATTCCGAATCTACTAGCCAGGAGGGCATCTGAAATACATGAGTTACCCGACGACCCCACGTCCGTAAAGACTTTTGGATGCTAGGCTAGGCTCCTTCACGACGGTCACTCTCGACCAAGACTTTTCTGACATCTTTTCACGACCTTCGGTTTTTCCTGCGGCATGAATCAAGGGAGGAGTAAGGAGGAGGCTAGGAAGGTTGAGAGAAGCTCTTAGGTATACACAGGTCTACTGCGCCCGGCTGGACGGCCTCTTCGTCATAGGAGAGCCCCGCATCCAGTGGTTTTTGACACTTTTCCCTGCAGCTACACATCCACAATTGGCCATCGTTTAGTTGGCTGGAGGGGGATATAATGACGGGACAACGGTTCCTCTTAGTTTGTACTCGAATGAAGACCTGTGTGGTAATTACTGCTGGAAAGAAGTCGTGAGTGAGGCAAAGGAGGGAGCACACTACCCGAGGCATAGATACCCTCGGCCTGTAGACAGAGAGGTGTTGAGACTTAATATATACATTATTATTTCGGGGTAAATAACATATGGGTGACATATTTACCTGACTGTTAGTGGTCACCAGTTGGGCAGGAAATCTGCATGTCATGTTGTGTTATAGAAGATCAAGGTCACGTGATGGTGGCCTTTGGAAATTAAACAGGAGGCGGGAAGACAGATCACTCGCTCCGTTCAGGACACGAGTAGAAGATATCAGTATTGGCTCTACAGAGCTGTATCACTCGTGGACTACGAATGGTGTATATATCACTGGAATTGTGTTTTGTAATTTTGTTAAGTCTTTATTAGTATAACAATTGTTATTTTATTCCAACAAAAGGACCTACATATCCTTACATAGTTATAGACTCATTAGTACCATAAACACTCAAAAAAAATATTTACATACTAATTTGAACAGAAAGCACTTTTTTCACACAACTGCTATAAAGGGGTGGTAATTTTGACAATCGATAAAATTTGTCTGGATTCTTCTGATTGGTCCAAAGTGAAGGCCTTCGCGCAGGGGTGTTGATAGCACTAGGGCCTTGGCAATTATATAGGATTGTGGATCCTAAACGTAGCAGGCTACGTGATGTAACATATACTACTAAATCCGGTTAGCCTACAATTAGTAAGCTACGCAGAAATTGTAGATTTCGGAGTAGGGAGTTAGGAGAAGGCATAGACAAATTTATTAGAACTCAAGCTTAACTATTGCATTCTGCGGAACTAGCTGTAGTAAAGCCACGAGTTATATTTGTCACCATCCTGTTTTAATTGTGATCGATCGATACCCACAGGATGATGATGATTATATTTATCGTGCCAGGCTTACACCCTCCATCCAATGGACATGACACGCATGGAGGACATCTAGAATACAAGTTCCTCCATTCTCCAGCAAAGCCCATCGGGTGCCTTACTTTTCCAAATACGTGCCTCACGCTAGTTACATCGGGTCGAATAGGTGAGAACGCATTCACCATGATCCTAAGACCATGTATTGAGGGAAAACCTTCGTGGGAAAACCTCAATAATTCCTCCTGTACTCTTTCACGACAAGCAGCCGTAGTCCCCCCTTAAACAGGCAGTGTAGGAATCCAACCTACCGCTTCTAGAAAGCACATCCAGCACCCGAGCAACTGTGCCAACAGCCAGTTGAAAATCACATATCATTCCTCCCAAATTCTCCCCTGCATTGCGCTCAACCCCCATTTGATAGGGCTGAAATTCCGAAATCGAGAGCTCAAAACCGAGGCATCGGTGCCCCAGCTTTTGTCGTACATTGTTCGTTGTCTGAGGGAGGCTTCTTCGTTCGCGCCGTCCTTGGAATGTGTCGAAAGGTTGAGAATGTTGATGTCGCGGTAGAGGTGCTTGTCTAAAATGAGGCCGAGCAATTGCCCAGTCCTGCACACAATGTTAGTAAAGTTGAAAGCGAAAGGAATTTTACCTTTGATTTGGGAGGGTTATTGGTGAGTTGAATAGTCTTCCCAGTCAAACTCAATCGGGAGGTTGTTAGAAGACTGAATAGAAGAGACCCAAACTTAAACTTTTGATCTATCGCGCCGGGAACGGAACCCAGCCCATGTGTCAATCGAAATCGATTGGGCCACGCTTAGCAAGCTGCCGTTGCGAAGGATGCGAATCTTCTTGGCTATCCCAGATATGCAGAGCATACTGAGCGATTACACCGGCACCACTGGAAGGTGAAGAATTCGACTCTACCGGCGCACTTATATAAGATATATATAACGTTCATTTTACCTGATTTGGCGCCTTGAGGCCCATGCAGGTTTTATCGGAAGATATGTACTTTAAGTAGGATGACTCAATTTGACGTTTAGAACACTCACACTCAGATTTCATTTGCAGATACCACTCGAGGTTAACCCTTACGGCGTATAACCTCTTCCGTGCATACCCACCACAGGGAAAAGCGTGAAAAACCTGTGACTATCCCAGTGTGCTTTCATCATTCCACAAGTACAATATCACCGCGAGAGAGAGTGGTGTGTGGGTCTGACTGGATTCGAACCAGCTTTCTCCTGTCTCGAATGGGACAGGTGTTCAAGCTACCCAGTGTCTACTTGGGAGAACGGCCCGGATGGTGTACCACTGCACCATCCAACCCTAATATAGGATAACTGTGTGTTCTATTCCATCGCAATTAACACAGAGTGATGACAACATGCCTCGTAGCACTACGACAGCTGAATCCGCAGAGGACAATAGACAAGCTTGAGACCTGAAACCATATCTATCCTAATCCCTAACTCTATGTTTCATGCGTTACTTACTAGTCACAAGCTAACCGCGTGGAGGGCAAGACTAAACACCTGTACGCGGTGTCCTCTACAAACCTGCGAGTGAAATATTCTCCCAGAGCCAAGTTCAGTCAAATTTCGCAAAATCGAACAAGTTGGCCCTCGAGGCAATGATTCAAACTACTCCACCACGTCAAATTTTCACTCCCAAAGAGATCGAATCCTACCTAAGCCTCATCAAGTACGACCTAGCACATCCTCATTCCAATGACCACACCTCTCTTCGACCTTCTCTGGCCTCAGCCGGTCACGAAATACACGCCCACGCCGATATTTATACCCGACGGAGGACACAAAGCGTGGCGCACAAATCTGGGAGATACCTCTTTGAGATGGACGTGGGAGGAATCAAGACAAGTTGATAAGATGATGCGAAGGATGGATACAGTCTCGACGGGCGTGGAATTTGGAAATTTAGAAAGGAGTTTTTACAAATTGAGCTTTGTGCGCGCCAAGTCTTCGGCTACGAGAGTACAGGCGACACAATAAACATCGCCATGGTTGGATGGTGCAGTGGTTCATCGTCTTGGCCGGTCTGCCAAGTAGAGTCTGGATAGCTTGGACACATATCCCACTCAAGACAGTAGATCGCTTGCTCAAATCCGGCAAAACACAACCACATTTCTCGCGGCGCTGGTATGCATGGATGACGAAGGCATGCTTGGATAATCAAAGGTTTTGAATTTCCCTTTGGTGGGTACTCACGGATATGGGTCGACTGTATGTGTGAGCAAGCACACCTCAAAGTGGTATTTGCGAATGAAATCCAGAGTATGAGTGTCCCTACCGTCAAAAGAGTCATCCAACATGCATGCATAGCACCGGTCATGTGTCATAGCTAGATAGCTGCATACACATTAAGTGATTTAAAAAAATAAAGCTAACCGTGTTTAGTGGTCTAAATTGCCTTACATACCCTGTCGCGTTTAGGATCCCATAACTCTTTGTAGATAGCTTAGATAGATGATTAAGAACCGAGTAACCAGACGAGGTTCCGGCGCGCCTTGGCTGAGAAAAAATGTTTGACGGGAGTGGGTGAATATATGTGGGTTTATCGGTAGCCTACTAGTCGCTCACAAATTTTGAGTTGAGGGCGAACGATATCGAGAGGGGAAGGGATAGGTAGAAAGGGGATTTCGAATTTCAAAAAGTTTTGTGTGTTTATTGTACTACTTAAGTCTATGACTATCTAGCACATCGGGCTCTTCTCTGGCCCAGGCCACACCTTGTACAGTGCTCCTTGCCTCTCATGTTTCTTGAAAGATCATTGATATGTTGCACTTGATGAACAACCATTCAGCTCAGTGTTTACCCGTGGAATTCGGCCACCTTTTTCACGAAACCTTCTAACCAAAAAAAAAAAAAAAAAAAAAAAAGGTAGCAATGGAAACTGCGTGCATGGGAAAAAGTCTCAAAAAACCTGCAGCCGCAGCCAGACGAGGCCTAAACACCGGGACTACATGAGGTGCGCATGTTCATCTACATCTCCCTTCTTCGTAACATTTGAGGCCGACTATATCCAATCCACCATCTCTGTATCGGGTGCTGGGTACGCTCCGGAACTCATCGGATGGCTTTTCCTCCGTATCAAGGGTTGGTGATGAGTAGGGCTCCGACCATACCATCTGATCTGATCGTGGTTAGCTTCATGATAATGGTGATAGGGGAATGTGTTGAGAGATGAAGACGATACAGACCGCGAAAGCGATTGGGAATCCTCGTCGAAGTGACGACTTTGTTACTCAATCTCGGCTCTTCCGACTCTACAGTGAGAGCTGGAGGTTCGTAGGGGACACCACTGATAGATGTTGAGAATAGTCTCCCAATAAATCGCCGTAGCTTCCCGCTTCTACATTCTTCATCAAAATATAAACATTTCATTGTGACATTTCTTTCGTGCATTGGTCGAAAGTCATATCCTGTCACATAGAAGCACTGTACAATGTGTGGTCTGGGTTAGAGAGGAGCTCAATTTGCAATATAATCCGAGATACGGGAAGCTCAATAATTAGCCTAGACAAAATTTTTCCAGCGTTTAGACAGATAGCCTGGCTGACCAGTTTGTTTGTTTTTTATTTAATGTCGAGCTAGCTCACAAAATAAACAATCCTTTGAAATTCGAAATTTCGATTCTCCACCTTTTCCCCCTCACCCTCCCTCTCGCGCTCGTCGCATTCTATCAAATCATTGTGATCGAGTCACTGGCATTTTCACCATGCTACCTGTTCGAAAAAAGCGTCCCAACGCCAAGTTGGACAATACGAGATTCCGCCTGAGTGCTCTCGAACAATTACCTGGCCTTGTCCAGTCTCCGAAATGCGCGGAGATGAGCAAAGTCTCAATGAAAGGGAAGGAAAAAGCCCTCCCCGCCGTCGCTGAACCCGATACTGACATGATCGGGTCAGTTGAAATTATTGAGGAAATACCTCAACGAGTCTCCGTCCCCCACGGGATTGGAGAATCATCCAAACCTCCTCCGACCACCTCAAAACCGTCGGAAAACGCTGCACCCATAGCAGCGTCAACATCAACGTCGCAGCCAAAGGCTGCTACGAAAGTAGAGTGTCCCATCGAGCTCCGACCAATAGTCGAAGCTGAACAACGACGCGCCGCCGAGATAGCGGCAAATCTGGCCCTCTGCTCCGCCGCCATCTCTGGCGTCGAAGCCACCCTTCTCCCTTTGACCAACGGGTCAAATAGACAATTCGTAGACTCTCATAGAGTCTACCTACGCGCCGCCACTGCGCAATACATGGCCACGGGCCCGGCCACTACGCCACCCGTCCCATATCTGCCCTTCAAAAGCACCTGGGCCACGGTGGCCAGACACGGACTGCGACAAAAAGCAGTCCCTACTGCCAAGGCTATGCCGCGACCTGCGGCCAAAGCCCATCAAAAAGAAATCCCCCAGGCAAAATTCGACAAGCGACTGTTCCTACGCCTTGAAAAGGACCACCAGTGACGAAAACTGTCCACAAGTTGCGTGAGAAGCAAATTGGAGATGAGATCCCTTTTCTTTCACGATAAAATAACTTCACTTCATCGAGCGAGGACCGGCTTAGCTATGCTAGCAAAGGACGAAAAAACACGACAAGAGGTGCTAGATGGCTCTTCGAAGCTGGCGAGTGAAAACACAAAACTCGAGGCATCTTCGAATCTTGTAGCCTTACAGATACCGAACGTACCTGTAAGTATAATTACAGAGAGCGGCCCCAGGGCGATCGATGCCGAGTTGGTCTTCGCCAAGATCACCCTTACGACCGGTGTGAGACCAATCCAGGTCCGACCTCATGGGAAGTGTCGACCTGGGGCACCGCACCAAAACTGGCATGCCCTTTTCGACCGGGAAGTCGCTCCTCGTGCGGGCTTCCCCCTCTTCGACGAGTCTGGTATGGCAACTATTCACAAGCCTCGTCGCCAAATTGAACAGTGTAAACGCTGTTTGGGCTTCCACGCCACTCGTGGTTGCTCCCGCGCTCCAGCCTGCTGGAACTGCGGCTCCAACATGCACTCGGAAGTCGAGTGCAAGGCCCTCACAAAGTGTCGCAACTTTGGGGGACCCCACCGATCGGATTCTCGGGACTGCCAAGTCAGACCCAGAAAGTCTGGGTCGGTGATAAAAGAGCAGCTCGCATGGATACGCCACCTCGAGCAAGGGAAGTTCGCGGAGGCGGCTCAAGCTAGGGCTACAGCCAAAAAGGCCGAAGAGGCGATCGTCGCCGCGGCGAAGGATGTCGCAATGGCCATGGCAACAGGTTTCGGAGTGCTGGGATCTGAAGGAGAAGCCTGAGGTAACAGCAACCTCGACGATGTCCCTCCTGAGGCATCTAATAAATATTAGCAGGATACCGGCTGGATAAAAGGTGCCCGCTAACTCATCTACTGCTCTCAGCGGAGATTAAGTAAATTTGTCATTTGGAAAGTGTGACGGACGAGGGAATGTGTGAGGAGCACATTGACTGGGTCCATTATGGAGGAATCTTCTGGTTTTTGGGAGTTTTGATTTTCTTGATTTACTTGATTTTTCGTTTCTGTCTCATCAGCTGCACTTTTGGTAGCGATTCACGAGGTTGGAACGAGCTAGGCTGTAGGAAAGATTATAGGGAACCCTGCCGGCTCCGCCTATCCTTGACCCAATGTGGAAAACATAGCTTTAGCTTAGGACAAAATAAACAAAACAAAACAAAATAAAACAACCGTACGGTCTCGTGTTGGCCAGCTCAGTTTATACAAATTACCCGAAGTGCCGATACTATTAATTAAGCCCGACATGTTATAAATGGGCTAAGGCCTACCTGTCATGCACCCCCAACCATCGAAAGATATCAAAAGTGCCCTACCACTGAGAGGCTGACGAGTTTAGACACGCCTGTTGGTGGGATTGGTTAGCTAGGTCAGCCTTTTGCACTAAGCAGAGCCAAAAAATGCACCTGTATAGTGATCGTCGAGAGACGCTTTGTGCAGACACAGTCTCATCTGAGTAATTACAACCACTGAAGAGCAAAGATTAAACCCTGTAAGCGGTCTCTTCAACAAACTTCTGGGTGAAATTTTTTACCAGAGCCAAGTTCAGTCAAATTTTGCTATAACGAACGAGTTGGCACACAGGGTAATGATCCAAGAGTCTTCACGAAATCAATTTCTCAATCCAAACGAGACCGATCTCCGCCAAAATCTTATAAAGTTCACAGGTACGACTTAGTACATCCGCATTCTAGTGAACATGTCCCTTCTAATTCATTAGGCCTCAGCTGGCTAGCAAATAAACGCAAATGCCGAAATTCATATACGTTGGATGAAACAAAGGGTGGAGCACAAATCTGGAAGGCAAACTTCTAGGATGGACGTCAGATATAGTATGATAGACAGACAAGATAACACCAAGGATAGATACAATCTTGGACGGTGTTGTTCAGGTTGAGCATTGTATGTCACACGACTTTGTTTGCGAGAGTGTAGCTGATACTACAAAAAAAGCCAATGATGGAAGGTGCCATGGCACATTATCGTGGCAGGACTCCTGAATAAATTCTAGATAATTTGGGAAAATATCCCACTTGTGACACTAGACAGATAGTTCGAGCCCAGCAAGACTGAACCACATTTCTGGCAGTGCTCAAATTCTTTGGCGGCCAAGATATGCCTGGTTGACTGAAGGGTTCAAATTTACCCCTGACAGATACCTATGGATGAGGATCGACTATTCTTCGTAAGCAAACATGCTTCATAGTTGTATTTGCGAGTAAAATCCAGATTTTGAATGTCTTTTGTCAACATGGACATCTTCCATATACATAAAATACTGATTATGCTTTATTACTCGGTAGATAACCACACAATAAATGATTTAAAAAACCAATCCTCCTGGTGCTATGAAACTGGCCTTTGATGCTAGTGAGTCACATAGGTTGCTAGTTGCTTCTTTTTCCACCTTTCGCAGCTCTTAGTTCATCCATCTTGGCAACTCGCATTAAAAATTCATCGTACTGGCATTTCTCGTAGCTATGTCTTTCGTTCTTTTAGTGTCAAGGTCAGTTCTTAGATTCAAGTTCCGTTTTTGACACTGACCTCACATTTCCATGGTAGGTAATATTCTTTGAATCGACATCGATTGAGTGGAATTAGAAGCCCGGCGCAACCATCGCGGTACTGTATAGGAAGTCTAGCCTGTGACATCTCCTCTCTGGTTGCCGATGCTATCATTGTGTGAGTACAATGCATTAAAGCCAGAGAAATTTCTCACCATTGCGCACCGAGGAAGTATGTCCTACTGTATGATCTTCAGTCATAGTCATTTACAGATAAGAAGTTTTTGTTTCTAATGAAGGGGATCCTTCGTTTTATTAGCACTTTACCGGCCCCGTAATATTGGGAAGATTCACTTACGTTAAACGGCTTAGATATTATGATTCTTTAATGAGTTAATACGAATGATTCATTGACCATAATCGTACATCCGTAAGGAAGGTTGTTGTGACGCACGTGAAAAAAGCTACTCAGTTATACCCCAGTCAACCCGCTTACTAACAATGAATTGTCAGCAACAGATGAAGCGCAGCAGACCACAGAACAAATAATTAAGTTACATTTGATTAGAAATCATTCCGTATCAAGCTTACGCCCTACAGCCAATTGGAGTGATACAGGTCTATGCTCCCTCGGGACACACTTCAACCTAAATACATAGTTTGCTTGTCAAATCTATACGCAAAACATAAATGATGAAATTAATTCCAAGAAAATTAAGCGCCCTGCGACTTTCCTCCTTCCTCACAACTCTTTGTCCTGAAAAACTTCTATTTCGGCAGGACTTAATCCTCCCTGTGTGGTATCTGCCTCTCGTAATAATCAGTTACTATTAAAAACTGAAGAAATCTTTCCCAACCCTATTCTACCAGCATCTCCCGTCCTCTCGGTGGTGGTTCGTGCTTCAAGTTTCTCCATTGCTCTAGAGCAATCCAGCATTCGGCAAAATGCCGAGAACGTTTCTCTCTTCCACACACGCATTTGCAGTTTTCAAATTCGTGGCCAAATCTTTCATGGTATTTTGTGAAATCGCCATGCCCCGTCTTTGCTGCGATAAGGTAGTCATGCGCCCACCTTAGAAGTGATAGCTCCGGTGGATATTTTCGTCTCATCTTGTTACGGTTTGACCGTTGTTTTAGCTTAGGAGGAAACCTAAGCGTTTAATTAGGAATAATTACGATAAAACTGAAGAGGAAGGATGGGCAAATAGAGATGAAATGGCACTACAAGCCAGAAGGTCGAAGCAGGAGGGCAAGACTGAACACCTGTACGCGGTGTCCTCTACGAACCTGGGAGTGAAATATTCTCCCAGAGCCAAGTTCCGTCAAATTTCGCAATATCAAAGAAGTTGGCCCACGAGGCAAAAATCCAAATTACTCATCCACTTCGTTATTTCGCTCCCAACGAGTTTGACCCCTATCTTCGTCTCATCGAGTCTACAAGTACGACCAAGTACATCCTCATTCCAATGACCACACCACTCTTCGACCTTCTCTGGCCTCAGCTGGTCACCAAATACACGCCCACGCCGATATTTATACCCGCCGGAGGATGCAAGGCGTGGCGCACAAATCTGGGAGACAGTTCTTTGGGATGGATGTGAGAGGGATCTGGACAAGTTGACAAGATGATGCGAAGGACGGATATAACCTCGAAGGGCATGAGATTCCGAATTTTGGCAAGGAGTTTTTCGAATTGGGCTTTGTGCGCGCCAAGACTTCGCTTGCGAGAGTGCAGTTGACACTATAAAAACAAGCAAACGATGGAAGGTGTTGTGGTCCACCTCCTGGCGGTGTTCTCTGGTATAGTTTGAGTAGCCTGGGCACCTACTCCACTTGGGAAGGAGACATCTCAGATTACATTTCGCGCGGAGAAAATTTGATGGATGACAGAGGCATGTCTGGGTAACTCAGGGTTTTTGAGACGTTCCCCTGGGTGGGTATTCACGGATGAGGGTTGACTTGGGGTGAAGAAAAAGCCACCATAACTTCGCAGTGGTACTTGCAAATGAAATCCGAGGCATGAGTGCTCCTATTATAAACTGAGTCATCCTTTCTGTACTTTTCTCTGATATTGTGTCATAGCTAGATAGCTGCATACGCAATTAAAATCTGATGCAAAAAAAAAAAAAAAAAGAAAAAAAGGTCGAAGCAACGTCATAGCGTAATGGCTCCTGATAATACTTGGCTCGGTACCAAGTATTGAGGTTTCTTGTGCACGTTAGTAAGAATAAAATGATAAATGTTGACTGTGAAATTCACGGATGTCTTGTGGCTCCAACTACGAAAATCTATATGTGTGTAGAGCTTGAGACTAGGTGTAAACGTGTATTTCTATTAACATTCTAACTCCTCCTTAAATACATGAAATCCTCCATACTCCAGATAATGTAACAATCAATGATACATGACAAGTAAACTATCAGAATACAGTAGGAGAGGAGTGAGGTGCTTAGCCGCCCGAATTGTGACCAAAGAATGCGAGGGGTGCATTCTTGATGGAACCTCAAACTCGGCGGCTCGCCTAGGATCGGGACTTGGCGTTACGCTCGGACTTGAAATTCAGGATCCTCAGTATTAAGCCTAGGGGGAAGTTATCAGTCAGCAGATTCACGAAGTAGACCAGACGTTATAAGTACCTGTTAGTAGTAGCCAGAGATTTCATTTCTCTTCATGTAGTTTAATAAATCGATTTATTCATCACCAACTCGGTTTCAGTCACACATCTGGAGATTCAATTCTTCGTAGCGGCTCGGTCTGTCATCTAGCTACCAGGGTTCCAATGCTTCTTCACATCTTTGCCTGACAACCCGAGTGAGGGCCGCGAAAGTGTATTTGGGTCTGTCCCTCATTTCTGAGGGAGATGTGTCCGTTTCATCCAGTAGGTTCCTGAGGGCTTCCTTAGCCAGTCTGTCTGCATCTTCATTCCCCATGATCCCAGCGTGGGCTGGTATCCATCAGATCTCAACTGATCTGGCTTGTCGTGCCAGTTTTGTGAATATTTCCATTGCAGCCTGGGAAGATTTTGTTTGGCCAGTTCATTGAGCTCTCATGGCTGTGGTGTCGTCGAGTAGCACCTTTTTCGGGCAGTTGGCTGCTTTGACTAACTTATACTGAAGTATAAATAAATTATCTAATTATCCTAATTTGGCATATTAAGGCCCATATAGGTATTTTTGGAAGATGTGTAATTTAAGTAGGTTGGCTCATGTTGAGATTGGGAACAATCACTCAGATTTCATTTGGACATAGTACTCGAGGTCAAGCCTCGAGGCATGCAAACTCTTTCGTGTCTACTCACTACAGGGAAAAGCGTGAGAATCTTATGGTTATTTGAGTGTTGTTTGGTCACCCTAAATATACAGTATCACCATGAGAGAATGTGGTGTGTGGGCCTCGCCGGGATCGAACCAGCTTTACACTGTCTCAAATGGGCTAGGTGTTCAAGCTTCCCAGATAGTAGCAGGGAGAACAGCCATTCTAGTGTACCTTTGCACTATCAAACCCAAAAATGAAGAATTACTATTTAATCCGTCCACCAAGCCAGAATGCCCACTCGAGCTTCGACTAATTCTCGGCCTTAAAGAACAACGAGCCGTCATGACAGCGGCAAATCTGACATTCTGTTCCTCTGCCATCTCTAGCGTTGAAGCCACCATTCTCTCTTTGACCAAAGAGTCAAACAGACAATTCGTCGACTCCATGAGAGACTGCCTACGCGCCGCCATTGCGCAAAATATCGCCTCGGGCCCGGCCTCTACGCCAACCGTACTCCCTCCTCGCCCGGAGAGCCCCTCTCAAGGGCTCCCGACGCTAGGAGCCAAACCATACTTGCCGTCTCAGTGCTACCTTTGAAAAGTACCTGGGCAACGGTGGTCAGACACGGACTGCGACAAACGGCAGTCCCTACTGTTAAGGCTGTGCCGCGACCTGCGGCAAAAGCCCAATATAAAGAAGCTCCCAAGGCGAAAGTCGACAAGCGACTGTTCCTTTGTCTTGAAAAGGACCATCTGTGGAGAAATCTGTCCACAAGTTCCGTGAGAAGTACATTGGAGTCCATATTCCATTACTTTCCCCATAAAATATCCTCGCTTCATCAAGTGAGGACCGGATTTGCTTTGATAGCAAAGAACGACGAAATACGATAAGAGATGCTAGATGGCTCTTCGAAGCTGGCGAGCGAAAACGCCAAACTCGAGGCATCTTCGAATCTTGTTGCCTTACAGATACCGAACATACCTGTAAGTATAACTTCAGAGGATTGAACCAGGGCGGTCAATACTGAGTGGATCTCTGTCCAAATCGCCATTACGACCGGCATAAATCCAATCTAGGTCCGACCCAATGGGAAATGTTGGCCTAGAGCACTGCATCGAAACTAGCATACCATTTTCCACCGGTATTCCGCCCCTCGTGCGGACTTACGCTTCTTAGAAGAATCTGGAGTGGCCATTGTCCACAAACCTCGTCGCAAAATTGAATAGTGCAAATGCTGTTTGGGCTTCCACGCCACTCCTGGCTGCTCCCGCGCTTCAGCATGTTGGAACTGCGGATCTAACATGCATTCTGAAACAGAGTGCAAGGCTCTCACACGCTGTTGCAACTGTGGGGGACCAGTGACAAAAGAGCAGCTCGCGAGGATCCACCACATCGAGCAAGGAAGATTCTCAGAGGTAGCATGAGCTCTGTGACGCCCCGACATTTTAGTGGCCACGTGGTCGTCGGTCCAATAGTTGGTAAGCCGACACAGGGTAAATCCAGGAATTCCAACGACTAGTCTCACACACACGAGTCTTGTGTGTGACAAATCACGATACGAAAGGTTTGTCATGGATATTGGTTTTCAAGCAAAACCCTCGGGTTGTAGGCAATGAGGGACAGGAGGTTTCGTGTTGGAAACTCTATTTCAACAATTGAACTCTTATGTAAATATATACAGATTCATATCCTCCTAGATACTTTTATCTTTAGTTTAGAATCTTATGATTTGAGTTCACGCCAGCTTTTGACCACTCGCCAATTGTCTTTTGTCCCTCGAGTTTCCAGAAGCTCGGGATACAGTCAAAAGGGCCGAAGGAGCGATCATTGCCTCAGTGAAGGGTGTCTCGATGGCCGAGAGATCAGGTTACGGTGCGCTGGAATCTGAATAAGAAGCTGTTAGACACTGAAGGCCGAATGAAAAATATAAAGTAAAGTTGTATTGATGAAATCTCTGCTCCTCAACTCCTCTCCAGCAGTGATGCTATATACCTATCTGAAACTATTTCGAG